TTTAAACTCCAATAAATGTGTTCAGAAATCAGTCTGTGTAAATAAGATACATTGTTCTCACTTACAAATATCTTCTTAAAGGACCACTATAGTGCCAGGAAAACATACTCGTTTTCCTGGCACTATAATGCCCTGAGGGTGCCCCCACCCTCAGGGTCCCCTTCCTGCCCGGCTCTGGAAGGGGGAAAGGGGTTTAAACTTACCTTTTTCCAGCGCTGGGCGGGGAGCCTCCTCCCTCCTCCTCCTCTTCTCCTCCCCGTCGGCTGAATGCGCACGCTGCAAATTGCGCTGCCAAGATTCAGCTGTCACTATAGGAAAGCATTCATAATGCTTTCCTATGGACGCTGGCGCATATCACTGAAAATCACAGTGAGAAGCACGCAAGCGCCTCTAGTGGCTGTCAATGAGACAGCCACTAGAGGATTAGGGGGAAGGCTTAACCCATTCATAAACATAGCGGTTTCTCTGAAACTGCTATGTTTATGAAAAAATGGGTTAACCCTAGCTGGACCTGGCACCCAGACCACTTCATTAAGCTGAAGTGGTCTGGGTGCCTAGAGTGGTCCTTTAACACTGCTCATCTATCCTCACTAATACTCAGTATGTTCCATCCATGGTACAGTAAGTACACAATACATTCAGTGGAGCTGATCTTACCTTTGGCTCTACCCAATGTGAGTGTACCAATTCGGGGGTATCACAGCACGCTTACAACCATATTCAGAGTGCTGCACTATGTATGTTTTTGTGTTTTCTTTCCCATACACTGACTAACTAGACTGGTGAGTGGGTTTATATGTAATTTAATAATTTGTATCTTTAGTACTAGACTTGCATACTGATATCATCTTGTCACTCGGTATAATTATTCACTATTGCATATATTATCACAGCTCTGTCTGGAGTTAATGAATCTTTTAATTGGACACTGGAAAGAAGAATATGTTAAATTGAGTGAAGAATTTAAGCTGTGTGAAGTTGGCACCCCATAATTTTAAAAGGGGTGCCAGCTTCACGCAGCTAAGAATTTTAAATCTTTCAGACTCGCATTAAAAAAAACCAGTGTAATGTTGTGAAGTGCAAGGATCAGATACTAAATTAAAGGAGAAGACAGTCACTGTTTCAGGCACATAACATGCCAGCTGCAAACCTATCCCATAATGCTTTGCCAGAGACCGACAATAACTCACAGCAAGGAGAGATATATAGATTTAATATTGTGTACTTTAGAATTATATATTTAGTTTGTTTTGAAGCTGTTAATTATTTCTTACTTATTCTCCAGAACTGCCATGCTCAAAGGCCCGAGGAGGTTACATTATTGTAGTTTAAATACACATTACTGGGAGTATTATTGATGCGGAGCTCTGTTACACACTCAGACACATTACTGGGAGTATTATTGATGTGGAGCTGTGTTATACACTCAGACACGTTACTGGGAGTATAATTGCTGTGGAGCTCTGTTATACACTCAGACACATTACTGGGAGTATTATTACTGTGGAGCTCTGTTATACACTCAGACACATTACTGGGAGTATTATTGCTGTGGAGCTCTGTTATACATTCAGACACATTACTGGGAGTATTATTGCTGTGGAGCTCTGTTATCACTCAGCCAAATTACTGGGAGTATTATTGCTGTGGATCTCTGTTATACACTCAGAGACATTACTGGGAGTATTATTGCTGTGGAGCTCTGTTATACACTCAGACACATTACTGGGAGTATTATTACTGTGGAGTTCTATTATACGCTCAGACACATTACTGGGAGTATTATTGCCGTGGAGCTCTGTTATACAACACATTACTGGGAGCATTATTGCCGTGGAGCTCTGTTATACGCTCAGACACATTACTGGGAGTATTATTGCCGTGGAGCTCTGTTATACAACACATTACTGGGAGCATTATTGCTGTGGAGCTCTGTTATACGCTCAGACACATTACTGGGAGTATTATTGCTGTGGAGCTCTGTTATACACTCAGATACACCGATAACATGGAGCTCCTAGAAAGGAGGGACATTAGCATAGAAAAGAAGGACAGAGGGATATGGATCAAAATAGGGACTGTCCCTTCTATACAGGGGCACTTGGGAGGTATGCTAGGCAAGCTGGTTGTGCGTAAGGTCAGTGAGAATTGGATCCGACCCTCATGTCCCATCTTCTTCTCACCGCTTAATAATGTCATTGTCTTTTAATTAAAATCAATTAATTTATACATTTGCTAGAATTTCTGCTACCTTATAGGGAAACTATAGTCACCAGAACCACCACAGCTTAATGTATGTTATGCAGAATAACGTATTATATACATCTTAACCCCTTAGTGACCAGACTGCTTTTCAATTTTCTTACCGGGGCTCTTTTTACATTTCTGCGGTGTTTGTGTTTAGCTGTAATTTTCATCTTACTCATTTACTTTACCATCACATATTATATACTGTTTGTCTCGCAATTAAATGATCTTTCTAAAGATACCATTATTTTCATCATATCAAATAATTTACTATAATTTTTTTTTTTTAAAACACACTATTTACCCCCAAAATCTGTTACGCATCTAAAACCGCCAAAAAACACCCATGCTAGATAGTTTTTAAATTTTGTCCTGAGTTTAGAAATGCGCATTGTTAACATGTTCTTAGCTTTTTTTGTAAAGTTATAGGCCTGGAAGTGCAAGTAGCACGTTGCTATTGCCAAACCATTTATTTTCAAAATTAACGCCAGTTACATTGTAACACTGATATCTGTCAGGAATCCCTGAATAACCCTTCACATGTGTATATTTTTTTAAAGAAAACCTAAGGTATTAAACTTGGGGTATTTTGACTCTTTTTATGCAACCATTTTACCACCAATCAATGCCAAATTTAAAAAAAAATAATAATAATTGCTGATTCTTTTGACACACATAGCAATTTAAGAATACATGTACTGAGAACTTTAAGGGTTACTGCCAAAGAACACCCCAATATATGTTCAGAAACATTTCCTGAGTACAGTGATATCCCCCATGTATAGGTGTGTCGGGTTCTATGGGGGCCAAAAGACCTTATTTGAAGGGTGCGCATTCCAGTTTTCCAACTTGGAATTTTCACAGTTAGTCATCATGCACCCATGTCCTATTTGGGGCATTTTTGAAGTCGGCCAATGTAATTTACCCCCATCAAACCATATATTTTGGAAAAGTAGACCGCCCAGGGTATTCAATATAGGATATGTCCAGTCTTTTTAGTAGCCACTTAGTCACAAACACTGGCCAAAGTTAGCATTTATATTTGTTTTGCGTTAAAAATGCAAAAAACTATTATAAATGCTAACTTTGGCCAGTGTTTGTGACTAAGTGGCCACTAAAAAAGACTGAACATACCCCATTTGCAATACCTTGGGTTATCTTCTTTTGCAAATGGTATGCCATCATGGGGGTAATTCTCGTTCCTGGGCTACTATACGGTCTCAAAGGCAACATAACCAATCTGGTGAATTTCAATCTGAAAAACAGCCTTATATTTGACCCTGTAACATTCAAAAACACTATAAAACCTGCACATGGGGGTACTGTTATACTCAGGAGACTTCGCTGAACACAGATATTAGAGTTTCAAAACAGTAAAACGTATCACAACAGTGATAACATCAGTGCAAGTGCCGTTTAGGTGTGAAAAATTTATAAAACGGCACTTTCATCTCTGTGATATGTTTTACTGTTTTGAAACACTAATATTTGTGTTCAACAAACTATACGGAGTAAAACAGTAAACCCCCCCCAAATCGAGGCATAGCTGCAATACCCTTAGAGCGGCTCGAAGTGATCATGATTGCTTCCAGCGCTTTTATTTGCCGCGGACGTACAGGGTAGGTCAATGGTTGTTAATGACTGTATTTTGTCTGACGTACCCTGTACGTCCGTGATGTATTATATACAGCTTTATGTACAGAATACAGCTTCTTGTATGGTATACAGATTAATGTTGTTGTTATGGTGTCTATAGTCAGTCCCTGCAGGCTGTTTAACGCCTTAAGGACACAACTTCTGGAGTAAAAGGGAATCATGACGGAATATTTCCGTCATGTGTCCTTAAGGGGTTAATGTAAACACTGCCTTTTCAGAAAAGAAGTGTTCCTTTAATTTATGTCATTTTCTGCTCCTTAACGCGTGTGTAACATGAGTGGTTCAGAGGATATTCCAGGCTGTCATTTTAATGCACGTATATTGTGATGTAACGATAATTCACATAAAAATATAAACAAAAATAGTCAAAGCAAATAATACAAATTAAAAACAATAAATTTGAAATGGCTACATTTGTGATACATTTTCTGGATTTTCACATATTGCATGTCAGCCATGGGCCAATCAGGATGCTCCAAACCTGTTGTTTCAAACTTCATCCCTTAATTCCTGCACATCAGGACTTTCGAATCTGACGTCCCATTGTTAAAGTAAAAGGGGCATCACTGGCACTGCCCAAAGAGATGGACTTGCCCTTGTCTGTCAGGAAATTAGGTATGTCAGCTCTACATGTCACTTTGTTTTATTAAATTATTCTATTTCTGTTTAGCCAAACTTAGTTTCATATTTATGTTGCTCTGATCGCTTCATGCTGCTGTGTTAATACAACTCTGCTAAATTTCAACACAAACCTGGGAGGGCAGATCATAATCCGGAAATAGGGACTGTCCTGCCAAAATCAGGACAGCTGGGATGTCTGTGATTTTATGGGCAGAGCAAGGATTTCTGGAAGTTGTAGATTAGTTATTAGCTTTTTAATTATATAAAAAAAGCTGTGCTGTGCTTTCTGATGGCATGAACGACTGTGTTATTGTAAAGACATGGCGGGTGGTGAAGCAGGGAGGGACAGGGAGGGTGAGATCCACACTCAAAGCTATAAATGATCAAGGTTGGATTGGTCGCTGTAGTGTCTCGTTAAGATTCTTGGGCACTGAGTTACATGGCCAGATAGAGGATACAGCCCAATACGGGAGATTATGAGTCAGGTCCGTAGGACGGAGGAGGCGTTTAGATTAAATATTCCGCTCAGGGAGCTGGTAATGGAAGGGATTTTATTACATTGTGTAGGGTTAATGGCTAAGGGCAGGGATTACAGAATGATAGAGAATGAAGCTTGTCCCAGGACTCATCTGTCAATGTCCATATAGACTGTATTAAGTGAGCCATGCCACACTTTGCAATCAGCGCTGTCAGAGATGGGTGCGGGGGGACTAGTTAAAGGGACAGCAAAGTGAATGGTTGACAAGAAGACAAAGAGAGATCACAGATTTATTGGATTCATTTATCTTTATAGCAAAATTATACTTTAATGGAATTTATCATATATTAATATTTTAAATTCATATTTTAAATTCATATTTAAACAGTTCTTTTATCCTTGAAATGCAAGGAGAAAACTGCTTAATGCTAATTCATTCCCTTTATACAATTATTAAAGCATTGTGTGAAATGCAGTCCAGACATTATTTGTGTGCCAAGGGCCGGGCTGGATTAAGAGCCCATTGGGTCTGGTGCTGAAGATTATGATGGGGTCAATTACAGAATCTTATCAACAGAAAACAGTACCCAAGAGGAGGAAACTCCCAGGATTCATTCATGGTACTCCCTTGCTTTCTCCCCTCAACCAAATCCATACCTTCAACATTAGCGTCCTGTGAATTGGAACGCAGGTGGGCGGGATAGAAGGAGGTGGGCCAGTGAAGCGAATCACCAGCACTGCACAGGGGCAGATCCATCAGGGTAGATCTGGCTGAAGAATTGGAAGGTCGGTCTGGTATAAAAGCACGCCTGCCAACTAAGGCAGACTATGCAAACAGCGCTATTTTAGCACCCTGAACTTGCAACCAACGCATCTAATACTGCGCTTGCTGCCAACGCATCTAATACTAAGCTTGCTACCAACACATCTAATACTGAGCTTGCTACCAACGCATCTAATACTGCGCTTGCTGCCAACGCATCTAATACTAAGCTTGCTACAAACGCATCTAATACTACGCTTGCAACCAACGCATCTAAAACTGCGCTTGCATCCAACGCATCTAATACTAAGCTTGCTACCAACGCATCTAATACTAAGCTTGCTACCAACACATCTAATACTGCGCTTGCTACCAATGCATCTAATACTGAGCTTGCTACCAACGCATCTAATACTGCGCTTGCTGCCAACGCATCTAATACTAAGCTTGCTACCAACGCATCTAATACTACGCTTGCAACCAACGCATCTAAAACTGCGCTTGCATCCAACGCATCTAATACTGAGCTTGCTACCAACGCATCTAATACTGCGCTTGCTACCAACACATCTAATACTGCGCCTGCTGCCAACGCATCTAATACTGCGCTTGTTGCCAATGCATCTAATACTGCGCTTGTTGCCAACGTATCTAATACTGCGCTTGCTGCCAACGCATCTAATACTGCGCTTGCTACCAACACATCTAATACTGCGCCTGCTGCCAACGCATCTAATACTGCGCTTGCTGCCAACGCATCTAAAACTGCGCTTGCTACCAACGCATCTAATACTGCACTTGCTGCCAATGCATCTAATACTGCGCTTGCTACCAATGCATCTAATACTGCGCCTGCTGCCAACGCATCTAATACTGCGCTTGCTGCCAACGCATCTAATACTGCGCTTGCTACCAACGCATCTAATACTGCGCTTGCTACCAACGCATCTAATACTGCGCCTGCTGCCAACGCATCTAATACTGCGCTTGCTGCCAACGCATCTAAAACTGCGCTTGCTACCAACGCATCTAATACTGCACTTGCTGCCAATGCATCTAATACTGCGCTTGCTACCAATGCATCTAATACTGCGCTTGGTGCCAACGCATCTAATACTGAGCTTTCTGCCAACGCATCTAATACTGCGCTTGCTCTATAGTTCCCAGGGACAATTTCCTGGTGTCTCCCAGCACTTGCCTGTCCACTCCTTCTTTTCTTACTAGCAGAAAGTAGCTCCTGGTAAGTGGTCTGGGACAGAGAAAACGTGGGTATATCGAGTGTAGAAGAAAGGGGACTTGTCACATAGTTAGAGAGACTGAAGCAGCAAAAGTATTTGTACAGTGGGCAAAGTCAGCTTTTTTTTTACTATTTCATATTCAGCCATTCGATACTATATTTGTTTGCCTACATCCCTTCTAAATTCCCATACTTCATTTGTTATGTACAAAGAAAGAGCATGTAAAAAGTTTTTTTTTTTTTACTACTACTTAACATTTTTATTTTTTTAAATCAATGGGCCTGGAGCTTCAGCTCCATTACCCCCTCTGTTAATCCGACCCCGACCAAGGGCACAGTTAATGTGTTGAGTTATTACATGTCTTAATCAGTTTCATTTATTCAGACTGTGGTCATTTTTTATCATTCTGTGAAAGGCAAAGGGGTACAGTCTGTAAACTGTGACTGGTATGTTAATGACTGATTTGACAAATTATCCAAATTAAAGATATATTTCCGGCTTAGGCAACTAGGTATTTTGTCAAAAAAACCTTGGGAATATTTCCATGTTAGTCAGTTCATATACAATGTTAAACCACCAGTTTAAAAAAAAAAAAAGTAAAACAATGACACACAGTTAGCAAGGAGTATAAACTGTGAGAAAGACTGCATACGTATTTACTGTAACAATCCTGGATCCAGCAGGATGCAGACCTCCCAACTGTACCGATTTCAGTGGGACAGACCGCAACGCAGAGATCAGGGGATATTGCTAAACTCCAGATGGTAACAATGTACAGGTTGGGATTGGCTAACAAGTGTCAGCCTCGTCCTAGCCTTGGCAGAGCTCACTGCAGGAAGTGAGCCTGTCTCTGTTTGTATTTGTAATTCATTGTCTGTATAATTGATCAAAATCACCGTCAGCCTGGAGAGTCCCTTTAAAGAAGAGATAATGATGATAGTATTATAACATCACTGGTTCTTCAGTGGTTAAATCTACCCACAGGCACCCAGCGTGGCTGAACAAATGTGGCGGCATTTTCTAAGTAAGCGTTAAGAACGAGCTTGGTGCGCGGTAGGCCATAGATCGAGACATTTTCCATTTGAAACGCTGCTAGAATATAAATGGATAGTTTATGCAGTCAAGTTTTTTTGCAGATTCATTGCATTTTTCTCAACAACTCCTTTGAATAGTTTATAGCTTTTATCTCTTTCGGTGCCCGAGGGTCCAGTAGACAGAGAAAGTCCCTGTGACACACACCTCAGGCCACAAAAAAATGACAAGTGAGCTTTTTGCATGTCTGCCAAGCTGTCATTCGTGTATCGGCCAGTAGATGGCACTGTGTGCATGTTTTGTAGAGTATAAGGCAGAAAATACAATAATAAAAATATATAAAATGCTCACATCAGTCCTGTAGACAGACAAACAGGTTGCATAATATTATTTCTACATGTACACCACAGGTACACAAAACACAGAATTTATAAATAAATACGACTACGGAATGGATGAACTTATCCCAAAGAACTGACCATTGTTGTCTCGGTAGTGGAAAGTTATACGCATTCTTATTATAAATCAAAACATATAGCGTATAGAATGATTAGTCGCCAAACAGGAGTAAAAAAAGATTAGTCGCCGCTGACCGTCAACATAGGATTGTGTTGCAGCAACATGATATGTCTTTATTTACCGTAGTTACTACAAGGTATGTTTACGTAAATGTTTCCTGCAGTGATTATTTTGATTGACGCCCAGTGATATCCAGGATTTATATATTTATTTTTATCAGTAAGGACCTTATGATGTGAATCTGGCCCTTACCATTGAACATCTCTTTATGTCTGTGATTGGATCTCGGATTGAGGATTGCCCTCTCTCTGCTCTGAATGTAGAAAGGAAGAGGGTTTGACATTTCAGACTTATGATGTAACATGATTAATATTCGTTTTCTATCAGTCGTTGTAAAGGACTCTCTGGAGAATCAATGTAAACAGGATTGTTAATTGTGAGAAACTGAGGATGATTTTTACAAGATCATTTTACAGGAGAAGAAGAGATGACAAATACACAGTATGAACAAATTCTGCATATATTAAATACAAATCTACCATAGTGACACGTCTACCATATAGTCACCTATCATGTAGACACATTTACCATAGAGGTACGTCTACTATATAGACATACCTACCATATAGACACATCTATCATAGAGACATACCTATCATATAGCCACATCTATTAGGGACACACATACCATATAGACAGATCTACCACACAGACAAATCTATCATTTATACACAGCTACCATACAGACACATCTATCATATAGACACATACAGACACATCTATCATAGAGATACATCTATCGTTTAAACACATTTACCATACAGACACAACTATCAGAGAGACACATCTACCATACAGTCACATCTACCATACAGTCACAACTATCATACAGACATATCTACCATACAGTTACATCTACCATACAGTCACAACTATCATACAGACATATCTACCATACAGTTACATCTACCATACAGTCACATCTACCATATAGACACAACTATCAGAGAGACACATCTACCATACTGTCACATATACCATACAGTCACATATACAATAGAGTCACATCTACCATACAGACACAACTATTAGAGAGACACATCTACCATACAGACACAACTATCAGAGAGACACATCTATCATACAGTCACATCTATCATACAGTCACATCTACCATACAGTCACATCTACCATAAAGACACAACTATCATACAGACATATCTACCATACAGTCACATCTACCATATAGACACAACTATCAGAGAGACACATCTACCATACAGTCACATATACCATACAGTCACAGCTACCATACAGTCACATCTACCATACAGACACAACTATCAGAGAGACACATCTACCATACAGACACAACTATCAGAGAGACACATCTATCATACAGTCACATCTACCATACAGTCACATCTACCATAAAGACACAACTATCATACAGACATATCTACCATACAGTTACATCTACCATACAGTCACATCTACCATAAAGACACAACTATCATACAGACATATCTACCATACAGTTACATCTACCATACAGTCACATCTACCATAAAGACACAACTATCAGAGAGACACATCTACCATACAGTCACATATACCATACAGTCACATCTACCATATAGACACAACTATCAGAGAGACACATCTACCATACAGTCACAACTATCATACAGACATATCTACCATACAGTTACATCTACCATACAGTTACATCTACCATACAGTCACATCTACCATACAGTCACAACTATCATACAGACATATCTACCATACAGTTACATCTACCATACAGTCACATATACCATAGAGACACATCTACCATACAGTTACATCTACCACAGAGACATATCTACCATAGAGACACATCTACCATATAGACATATCCACCATTTTAATTTGAGCAGTGGAGTATCCCTTCAAATATATGTTTTATAATAAGTGTCAGCATTAAAATTCTGATTCCCTTCATAAATAATTGGAACTAGAAAGTTGACTTAGCCAGAAATGTGAGTACATCTCAGTACAACGTCAGCTGAGTGAGTCATGAATTAGCAAAACAAAATGGAGCGATGAAATGTCCGTTTGCCTAGTAAGTTACGTACCTGCCTGAGAATTGAAATAGTCACAATCCACGACAACTGAAATGTCCACATACTCTCAAGTAATGATGAATAGAACGCCATTTCAACGTTAAAAAGAACACTTGGCGTCAAATCCTCAATTCTCGTTATTTAATTGTTTATTACATTACAATGAAACATTTATTTTAATATTTATTTTAATAATGTATATTAATTTTTATCAGAAAATATAACTTTTTTTATCAGAGTCTGACCCAGTATGACTACTGAGCCAGATAAAAAGAGACATTTCCTCAAAAAAACGTAATATACATCATTTAGAAAATATTATTATATTTCATTAAACGTAGTAAATTTAATAAACAGAATTGAGAATTTATCCTTTAATATTATGCTGTAAGTTAACGGCACACAATGACAATATAGCCTTGATTTACTTCCTCCCATTTTAACTAAAAGTAATATGTCTGAGTCAGATCTGTGTCCTGGAGATATATATATACGCACCTGGGGTGATAATATTAAAATAAACATATCTCCCAACATTCCACATGGGCAGAGGGGCTCTTTGATTTTAGGGGGATGGGTCGGTGTGTAACCAGGGGCGGGGCATTACGGAGTGTGAGTGAGGGTGTAGCCAGGGGTGAGGCTGTTTGGAGATATTCAAAGTGATTTACTGAATATTTATAAAACTAAAATGTAATTTGGAACAAAAACAATGTATCTTATTAACAGACTGATTTCTAAATACATTTATTGTAGTTTAAAGACACATTACTGGGAGTATTATTGCTGGGGAGCTCTGTTATACACTCAGACACATTACTGGGAGTATTATTGCTGTGAAGCTCTGTTATACACTCAGACATATTACTGGTAGTATTATTACTGTGGAGCTCTGTTATACACTCAGATACATTACTGGGAGTATTATTGCTGTGGTCATACACTCAGACACATTACTGGGAGTATTATTACTGTGGAGCTCTGTTATACACTCAGATACATTACTGGGAGTATTATTGCTGTGGAGCTCTGTTATACACTCAGACCCATTACTGGGAATATTATTGCTGTGGAGCTCTGTTATACTCTCAGACACATTACTGGGAGTATTATTACTGTGGAGCTCTGTTATACACTCAGATACATTACTGGGAGTATTATTACTGTGGACCTCTGTTATACACTCAGACCCATTACTGGGAGT